TTTTAGATTAAAATTAAAAATAAAATTTCAATTTTTTAGTTATAGTACACAGTCATAATTTTAAAATGATTGTGTTACTTGATAGTTTGCTTTACACCAATAAATAAATATTTTATATTTTTAATCGATTTTTTTAAAGTTTGGTTTTAGTTATATATTCCACTTAAAGTTTGAATTTAAAACGTTTACACAATTTATGGAAATGAAATTTATCGCATACGATAAATCTCAAAAGTTATTGCTGGCATAAATATATACATATATACTCGTATGTATTGGCAGAGAAACTGAATTGACTTCGTTTTGCATGCATTTTGGTGTTAATATAAAAATCTCAATATTTGTTGGTTTAACATATTTATAATGTATATTTTATTTGCGTTGCTGAGTTCAGAAAAATTTAATCTCCATTTGTTTTAATCGAAAAAACCGCAAAACAATTAATTTGCAAACTTCTCCACTTTTAGTTTACATGACTTTGGAGAGAATGAATGAACGAATGAATGATATTTTAACATGTCAAAATGTGCGTGTATTTATTACATTAATTTGAAATACTTTACTCAATTATTTACATAGGAACATGAATTATTTATGTATCTGCATCAATTACTTTGATAATAATTTAATGTATGTGCTGTCGATTTATTATAATGATACGTGTTCGTGGCGATTTAACATACATTCCCTATACACGTAAATACTTGCATATAATTATGTATGTGCAAGTATGCGTGTGCAAGTTGCGTGTGCATGTGTGCGTGTGTGCGTGTATGCGGCAGGCATACATTTTTATCTGCGGCCTATACGTGTATTTGTTTGCTTAGTCTGCACGCTCTTCTCTTTAATCAATAAAAATGTCAAATTGAATTTCGGTGGAATTGTGTTTACTGAACGCAATCAGATGGATGGCAATTCTTGTTGATATTGAGTTGGTGGTACCGTACGAAGCGATGCTTGCGGTTTGAATTATTGGTTGTTGTACTTGGTCAACTGCTCGAAATCTTCATAAATGATTTTTTTTACATTTGCAAAGTAAATTATTTTTAAATAAAATGGATTAGAGATTGCTTAATGTGCTACAGTGCTCAGTAGAAGTGAATTCATCTAGATTCAACTGGATAGAATAATAAAAAATGTTAAAATAATTAAATTTATTGAATTGAAACAATTTTATGAATTATTACTTATAAAAAAATTTGTTTTGATGCTGATTCCTCCATTTTCATAAACAATTAATTTGTATACCTCAATTAGCGATTTTTCGCCATTTGCTACCACATTCCTCGCAAGAACTCTAGTATAGAAGAGTAGAGACTAAATCCATCCCGTCGAATTTAGATAATTTAATAAGTAATTCGTCTTCACCGTTGACCATGCTGAAAAACTAAGAACTAAGAACCTATATCTTCTAGACGTCAAAACCGGGCATTCATAGAAAAAATGTCTTATGATTTATTTTTCCTGCGGGTTTCCACCACCAGTAAGGATTAGGACAAAAGCGTATTTTCTCTGCGTGAGTTCCTATACAGCAATGACCAAAAAAAACTGCAGTAAACCTTGCAGTGTTCACGCGGTCACTTATGATGCATTTCGTGGATATAATTTTATTATAGGTGGGATATGTTAACCTGAAAGTTGCACATGACTCAAGTGCTTTCCATCTGTTATTGGCAAGTTGAAGAAAGTAAAGGAAGGTACTTCTCTTAATAGTCTCTAGGGTAATATAAACCGGTACCGCCAATGACACTCTCAGTGACACATCCAGAGAAGCACCAGAGTGGGCTAAACTTTCAGATTTCTCCTTCCCTTTGATGTTCCTATGTCCAGGAATTTAGATGGGGGTGATATTAGCCAGCCGATTAAGGTAGTCGATTGCTTCGATTTTCAGTTTGGCGTTACTGAAAATAAAATACGAAGTTAATATTTAGTTTACAATTTTAAACTACACAATAAAAATGGAGTGTTAGAGATGATTGTATTCTTGCATGAATTAAGTAATCATTTGTAACAGGTTTTCTATATACATGGCATTTTATAATATATAGTTCTGAACTGTATGTTTAGTGTTGTATTTTCTTTTGTTTAAATTTCGTAAAATAGCTTTTTCGTTTTATCGACAGCGGATTAAACTGAAATACATCTTATTGCAAGTATTGTTTTTATCATAATGTGTGATATATATATAATAAAACCTAAACTAAAATATAGCTTATAATTTACGTGACATATTTAAATACAAAAAAATAAAATCAGCAAATGATAATTGTGCTAATTTATTAGAATCACACTTCAAATAAATTTTCATTGATATTCTGGTACAAATATAGTTTCTATCTGTAGGAAATAATTTTAAAATTATTCTAGTATAACAATATATATCAGCATCGAAGAATATTTAGAACGTCTTATAAAGGACTTTAAAGTTTAAAATATAAAATATGTGAATAATTCAAATTTTCTTTCAAGGAAATTCATATTCCGAACTAACTTTCTGGCGCATTTTATCAGTTGCAGTTTAAAGTAAAAGTTACAGAAAACAGCTTCAACGAGATTTCAAAAGAAAATTTAAACATTTAATAGCCACATTTTCCTTCCTTGTTCTCATGTTCTCTTAACGTTTTCTATATTTTTTCTGTATCTTGTTTTATTTAAACCAGAGACATTTTTATCGTCGCATTTCTCAACCAAAAAAAAAAAACTTAAGAAAGTAAAATATTTTAACACTTGAAAATACTTGAGCAGGACAGGACATTCTGACTAAAGACCAAAGTCGTTACACTGCAAAAAAAAATGTTTGCTTTAGTTGAAGAATTTTATTTCCCTCCTTAATGTGCTAAAAAATGTTAAGTATTTAAAATGGTAGTCAAATTAATATATGCTAAGTATTTACTCTAACGCTTTTTCACAAGTGTTAAGGAATTTTTTCATTGTTCTTCGAACGTTTCGGGCACACAGTAGTTTGGGTTTTGGGACAAATTACAATGATTTTTGATTTACATAAAGAAAAAGTTTAAGATACTAACATTTAGGGCTCTTGTAGTTTCACAAGATGAACACTTTGTGTGTGTAATTTAAATAGAAACTGTGTTGTTCCCAACTCTATAATAGGGATTATTTTATAATCGCTTCTACTATAAGCTGGAACAAAATTTCTGGATTATGGTAATGTTGGATAGAAAAGCCAAAATGTGGCAATGTGTAGTAATTGTTTTAGAATTTTAATGTTTATTTTTATATAGTGTTTATTTTTTCAAATGAGTTATTTTTGTATAATAAATACAAATAAAAGTTATTTATTTTCTAGAGTTTTGTAATATACAGAAAAGAGTT